AGAATTTGATAGCTGAGATTTGCTCTTGGTACCACCTACCCACTGTGAGCATAAATAAATAAAGGCTGTGAGCACAAGTCATACTAAAATTGCCTTTCCAATTTCCATAGTCACAGAATCTCAAGGACTCCAAGCCAGTCCAAAGAAAAGATCCTGTATATAATAGTTTTGAATATGTCAACTTTAGCTCAAGGGTACCCTGTAATAAGAAGACTTGTTAATGAAAGGATCTAAATTTCCTTCTAAATTGTGCTGGTTGCCTCCTGAAAAATAAAAACAACCTGAGGTGTATTGGTGGCCGCTGTATTTTTAACCTGCCTGTTGACTTTCAGTCTCTAGACTGGAGCTGGTTACAGACGGAGGAAGAAGAGCAGAATAGCCTGGAGCAGGTCTCATGACTGCATGGGTGGCGTGGATTACCTGTTGGGGCTGCCTGACCTGATGCTCTCCCACAGTGGCCCCTGCTATAATGATGTCCCAGCAATCTTTGGCGCCCAGGTGGAGATCTTCTCACTTCCCCAGAAGTTGTGACATTCACTGTGGACCAAGGGTGTGGCCCTCCATTGGCTCTGCCAACACTTGTCTGCACACTGGAAGTCCTCCATCACAGAGGCTCAGCAAACGTTGATGCCAGGAACGAATGTATACGGAGACCAAGCCACGGCAGCTACTTTCTCTGCTCTGAAAAAAAGTGCCTAAAGTACAGTTATCCCACAGACCACTGGACAGATGTCTAACGTGACTCTTTCAGGACAAAGTATAACCTGCACTTAGTGCCACCCTGTCCCCTCCTGATGCCTCCTGTCCTCCAGAGACCCTGATCCACCTGTCCTCACAGCTAGTGTTTCACTGGATTTGGCTTTTCTTAAACAGACTTTAAAATCTTGGACTTGGCATGGCCCCATCCTCTCTCTTCCTCTTTTCATTTTACTGCTGCTAAAAATTTCCTTTTACCTACACTTTGGTGGTTGTCCTCCCTTCAGCAAGGTTGTAGGTAAATGTTAAGTTCCTCCTGTCTGTAGTCCTTTCAACCACAGAATGAATCATTAAAGCCAGGATGAAAGAGCAACTCCCTTCCTTTGGATCCTAAAGGTTACCTGGGAGTGAGTTGTCATGGAGAAAAAGAAAAGGTTATCTGTCTACAACTAGCCTGCTGACCACAATGCCCACCTTCTGTCCTTTGTCAGACATATGTGTCTGGTTGTCGTGAGATGGGGAGTTCGTGCCTCTCATATCATCTAGCAGTATTATTAAATTGACTTATTTTAAAAATAGTTTCTATATTTTGTAACATGACTCAAACACTTATACAAGGTTTCACAATCCATTTTTTTAAGTCCTGTGGTTAGGACTTACGAACTCAAAATCCAACTTAATGGAGAATTTTATAAACTGGAATAGTGCCTGGATGAAACAGTGCCATAGCACTAGCACTGCTCTGACATACAAAATTTCACTTTTATATAAAATAAAGCAGGAAAGCAAAACAAGTTCAGATGATCACAAATAGGTAAGTTTGGTTGGAGAAGAAAGTTGGAAGAGAGTAATTTCACAAAGTAGCTTCCATGGAAATACAGCAGAGGGTTTCATGGTCAAGTAAGTTTCAGAAATGCTTCATGGTCTAATTGCCTCTTGGAGATCTACCTTGTAACTGGTACATTAAAGTATAGCAGGTCCTCAAATAACATCGTTTTGTTCAATGTCATTTCACTACAATGTTGATGAGATGCCATAGGAACTTAACTCTTGTTTATATCAATCAGCCTATGACAAAATTGATTTTGTTACATGTCGTTTTGCTTAAAGTTGCAGAACCTATCGATGACATCTTGTTAGTACCACAATTTGTTAAAAGGGTGACAAATCTTAGGTGACCAACTTGTTTCAGTTTTCCCAGAACTTTCCTGGATTTAGCCCTCAAAGTTCTGTATCCCAGTAAACCTCTCAGTCACTGCCAACCCAGGATGATTAGCCATCTTACATTACGTGTGTCCATATCCTGTGTAATTTGAAATATTTGACACTTCAGCAAAATTGCAACTTAGGATACTCATTCAACAAGTACTTATTGAGCACCTCTAGGTGACAGACAAAAATTAACTCCCTACTGTCATGGAGCTTACCGTCCACATTGGTGGCAGAAGGTTAGAGGAGGGAGTAGATAATAGGGAAGTAACACGTGTAAGTTTCAAATAGTTTAAATGCTATGAAAAAATAAAACACAGTAATGGATAGAGAGTGCCTTAGTGGTGTTTGGGAATGTGACAAGGATGTGCCTACTGGGCTGAGATTTGAATGATGAGAAGAAGACAGCCAAGCAAAGGCCTGAACAATAAGAGAAGAGACCTGAAGTAGGTACACTGTGTACTAAATAATGATGTGTGTGTACTTAAAAACAAAGGGAAAAGTGGCAAGAAATTAAGGAGAATTGGTAGGGCTTAGATCACATTAGGACTTGCAGGCCATGGAAAAGAGCGTGGATTTTATTCTAAGTGCAGTGAGAAGGTAGTTAAGCAAATGAATGACATATTCTGATACACATTTTTTTTTTTCAAAACTCCCATTCTCCTATTTGGAGAATGGCCTGTAGGGAACAAGAGCAGAAGCAGGGAACCCACTGAGGAGGCTGTGGCAGTAATTTCGGAGCGAGATCATGGTAGATTGGACTAGGGTAGTGGCAGTAGAGGTGATGAGAGGTAATCCAGTTCAAATATGTATTCTGGAGATAGATCAGACAAGACTTGCTAACAGATTGGATGTGCGGTGTGACTCCTAGGGTGTTGGCCTGATGGCAGGATGTATTAAAGTGTCACTAACTGGAATGGGGAAAAGTTAAGGAGAAGCTAGTGGAGCAAGAATCAAGAGTTCTATGGGACATTTTATCTTTGAGATTCCTATTATGCACAACTAGAGCTATCCTTTAGGCAGTTTGATATATGGGACTAGAGCTTAAGGGAGATCAGGACTAGTACAAATTTAGGAGACTTCAAGTTAGATATGGCATTTACAAAGGTGAAACTGGACAACATGGAAAAGCTGGCTAGAAGATCAAAACCTGAGGCACTTTCCCATGGAGGTTGGAGGGTGGAGGAGGAGCTGGGAAACAACACACACACACACACACACAAAGCAAAAAACAAAACAAACTTGAGAAGTTTGTGGCTAGTAAGGAAGAAGGAAAACGCAGAGCATGTGCTATCTTAGAAGCCAACTGAAAACAAATTATTTCAAGAAGAGAGTGGTTAAGCGGATCTGGTGTTACCTGTCAGTCCAAGAAGGTGAGGAAAGAAAATCGATCATTTTCCTTGGATTTTCTGGCACTGATTTTTTTTTTAAGTTGGCATAAAACTCATAAAAAGTGACTCCACAATTCCCTAAAGTCGTAACTTTCATTATTCAGAGGTGAATAACGTTTTTATTTAATGAGAGATGATCATTCTTCAGAACAAAATAATATGAATATAGCCAGGAATAGAGATTGGATAGGAAAAAAGAACAGAGAAAAAACTAAGATGACTCATATCTAAATGAAGGTGGAAATCAAGGAGTTAAGAAGCTGCAGAATAAAATTAAAAGTCAAGGAATAAGGGGAAAAGACAAATATTTACAAAAACATACAATGTACAAAAAGGGTTATTAGTAATATATTTAAAAACCTAATGACAACTACCCCTTTAGAAAAATGAACAAAGTATATGAATAGGAAATTCACAAAAGAAGAATTACAAATGTCCAGTTAAACATAACTAAAGATGTATACTGATATTGTAAAAAAAAAAAACAAGTACAACCTAATCAAAGAAACTAATTATAGCTACAGCATTATTCCATAATTGAAAAATAATGGGAATTTTAAAAGAATGGTATTAGAAGACTGGAAATGTATGTCCCAAAATATTAACGGTGGTTACAGTTAAGCTGGATGGTTAGATGATCACTGATTTTGATTTTCTCCTTTTATACATTTTTCAGATTGTTTCTATAGCAACCATGTATCATTTTGTAATAAGCTTTTAATTTTACTTACACACAAAGCAACTGCCTGGAATTGACTACTTAGTATAAACCCCAGGAGTTACACTTGTATAATAAAATATTGCTTATGTCACATTTTCATTTCTCAAGCAGAACTGTAAATTTCTTAGATATAGGTCATCAGGTTTTAATGACAATTTCATTGCTCATTATCTAGGTTAAGTACTTCTCCTTCCCTAGTGTTTTTCGCTTTGGCTCATACCGCAAAAGTCAAGGGAATAAAAAATAAAGTATTTTGACATTGGTTGGCATATCTGCTAAAAAGTTTTGTATGGGAGGCTTTCCTACTGGTGGTATATTTCATCCCAGACTTCTGCTGCACCTGGTACAGGAGAACGCCATTGTAGTGGCATTCTATATTCATTGTAGTGGACTGCACTATATAAAGGGTGCCAAAAAACTGTGTACACATTTTAAGAAAGGAAAATACTATTAAAATTTTAATAGTCAATATATACCGACAACAAAAGATGACTACAAGTCATGTGTATACATTTTTTTTTGCACCCCAGTGTTCTTACAGAAAGTTTTGACAATAAGTATGATACAGGTGTGGCCTCCTATCACATAGAAAATACGTCACGCATTAATAACTATTATTCTGTACATATAATATGCACACAGAGCAGTCCTCATATATTCTATCTCCCACCCCTCCACCTTATATAAGCCACCATCTGAAGTTCGATTTCAGAGTCAATATCGGACTCCTATTTTTCCCCTCGTAGGGGGAGGATTTCAGAGACATATACTGGGAAAACATATAATGTCTTAGGGTAAGAATCCAGGTCTTTCCACAGGAACCCTATTGGATTCTGAGTAGCCCACCTTCCTCCAGCCAAATCCACGTTTCAGATCTCCTGCAACCTCTCGGTTTCCTTTTCTCACACACCGAAGTAGCGCCGTCCGAGCCCCGCCCCTTGCACCGGCCCTAGGTTGACGTCACCACGCGCGCCGCGCGCCGCGCCTCCTGTCAGAGGCAGCCATTGTTCAGCGGGTTGCACTGGCTGTGCCGGGGCTGGGCTGGTCCTACCCGGCTCTCCAAGTCCCTACCCCTCCTTAAAGCTGGGAGACGGGGCCAGTCCCTGGCTCTGAGCACTCTGAGGTTCTCGGGTGCAGGCCGCCATGAGCAAACGTAAGGCACCACAGGAAACGCTCAACGGGGGAATCACCGACATGCTCACAGGTTAGCACCGCGCCGGGGGCCGCTGGCTTTCTTCTTTCCTCCCACCCCATTGCCTTCCCTACCTTCTCTCCCGTCCCGACAGCCCAGTGAATGCGATCGGCCCCTCGCAGCAGGTGGTCTTCCGCGCGGATCTGATCTTCTTTCCGCGCCCGTGGCTGGTGGCTCATTGTTAGTACTGCTGGGGACTATCGTGTCACCCCTTGGGCTGCCTTTGGCCTGGCCCGTGTAGTAGTGGTGGTGGTTGGGGGCGAGAGGGGGGGGTCTGTCACTGTCCTTTAAGGAGGCTGTTACGTCCCCTTCCGGGAAACTCTGCTCTCGTTTGTTTACTCGTGGTTCTTGTTCACCTGAGCCTCTTGTTACCTTTTCAGAACTCGCAAACTTTGAGAAGAACGTGAACCAAGCTATCCACAAGTACAATGCTTACAGGTGGGATGGTGCAGCATTCTCTGGTGGCATGCGTTCCGGGATGTATGGCAGTTAAAAGGGCTGAGGGGTCCAGTGGGTATTTGGACCATCTACAAGAGGAGAAAAAAAGCAAGAACTGAGGGTGTTGACTCTGGTGGTACCTTCCAGCAATATTTCTGGGAGAACCCGAGCAGACCGCTGGAGGAACAATTCTGATCAGTTCCCAATCCTGACTGAAAATGGGCTGATACAGATTTTTTCCCGTTATCAAACGTGAATTATTAAAAATACAGTTTGATTTTAAAAGCCGTAATGAAAAACAGTGGATGAGGTCTGTGCTGTGAAATAGATGTGGTTCAAGGAATCACCTTTTTCTATCTGGTTGGTCTGTGGCTGATCCTGTCACCTTTTTGGGTCCCATTTTTGTTCATCTCACCAATGGCCTTATCCTAGACATTATTCCCACGTCTAGCTGGTTCTGATCCTTAGCCTATTAAACATGTCCAAATCCTTCAGCCCTTAAAAGCAAAAACGAAGCAATCTTTTTAACTTCCCTCTAGCTAGCACCTCATTTCTTTCTTCCACTTTACAGTGAACTCTCCTAAATAATCTGTTCCTTCCCTGGACTTCCTCACTTCCTCATCCCTAATCATGCCTTATCTCATTGCAGTATAATTTATATCTTACTATTCTTCTGAAAACGCTCTCTCCTGCATCTCATCTTATTGGACTCTCAGTGACATTCACAACTAGCTCATTCCATTCAAGTCTTACTCTTGACTTCTGTGATGGCACAATCTTCTGTTCTTCCTCCTCTTTTATCTTACCTTTTAATGTTCCCCACAGGTCCACCCTTAGCCCTCTTCTCTTACTTTCATACTTTTTCCCTGGCAATCTTACCATTCATGGTGGCTTTGTGGACTGGGTATGTTAATGACTAAATCTCTATCTCACTGGGCTTTTCTCCAGATTTTTAGGCCTATATTCCCTTTATCTCTATACCTCCTTCCCTTTCCACTCAGCATAATTCAAACATGATCACACACCCTCCTTTTTTTTTTTAACCTCCTGTGACTTCCTATGTAAACTAATTGTACTATGATCCACACATTTTAGGATCTAGAAATCAGAGAGCTATTTAACCCTATAATTGGAGTCACAGCAGGCTTCAGAAGAGGAGGTTTTAGTCTTGAAGGAGTCCATGAAGGGTAAGTGAGATGAAGAACAATTTAGAGAAAGGAAACAAAATGTGCCAAGGCATTGAGACCTGAAGGGTATAACATTTTCTAGGAAGTCATTAATTCAGTTGGCTAAGGGATATTGTTTGAGTGGAAAATAAGATTGGAAAAGCAGGTACCACCCTGCATGCTCCTCCCTTCCTCTATATACATTTCTCTTGATTGTGGCCAAAGTATTCTTTTCAAAATAGTTATGTGATCTTGTTATTCTTCCATATTAAATAATTAAATATTTCCTCTTTACCTTGATAAAGCCCAAATGCATTGTGGCATACAAAAGGCTTTTCCTGATCTAACTCTTCCATTTCAGGCATTGCCCCATTGTGCCAATTATCTGGAATGACTTGCCTTTACTGAAACAATTCCCTCCACAAACTGCCTTTAACCTGCCTTTCCAGACTTGTCATCAGTATTAAGCTAATAGAGAAGTTGAAATTCAAGTCTAAAGGTTTATATGTGCTAAGACTCTAAGACTCCAAACTAAGACTCCAATGATTATCCAATATTTATGCTTTTGACTTAGATGTATGATGACTTTTTATCAGCATTAATGCTGAAGTACATTTAGTATTGAAATTAGACAGGATACCATCCGTTGGCTCCCAGGGTGTACCTAATCTGTCACTGGATTCCTGAGCCAAATATGTGTGGAGATGGGCAAGAATCACAAGTCACTGTCTTATGTGGAACTGAAATATGAGCAATGGAAAAGAGAAAAAAAGAACTGGTAATAAGGACCTAGGGGAATGCAGTTTTAGACAATGAATTTAAAAATGTTCATCCATACTGTTCCTTAGTTATAATAGCTGTAAAGCCACTTGACTAAATTGCTAAATAAATTCTTAAAAAAAAAAAAAAAGCCATCCATAAGCCGATTGGGTATCTAGTAGTTTGAATACTACTAGGTGACAAATTTTTATGAAAGAGAGTTATGAATAATTTCTAAAAACTAGCTATTAAAAAAAAGGCCCAATGATACTTTCCACTTAATCCCAAAAAGGGGAAGCTACTGGTTTCCTATCTTCCTGGTTTTACACATACAATTAAAATCATATTATCCTCAAATGTGAGGATTTTCAAGATATACTTCTAAAAATTAGAGAGGTAGTTGGCCTGTCAGCTCATCTGAGTTTTTTTAATAAGTTTTACATGAATATGGAAAATTAATTATCTTGGTGAAAGTTTAAGTTGTATATTTTCTTTTGTATGTGTATAGTTTAAGAAAAATGAAGATTTTGCTCTATTTCTAATTGGTTTTCCTTTTTTTTTCTTATAGAAAAGCAGCATCTGTGATAGCAAAGTACCCACATAAAATAAAGAGTGGAGCAGAAGCTAAGAAATTGGTAAGTTTAATGAGCAAGTTGATCGAAGAGTTTACACATGTACAAATTTGGTAGACTCCCACAAAATTAAATTTGCCTCCCTGAATCTGCCTTGACCCACACAGGCAGATTTCTTGGAATAATATTTATGCTGTTTCAAACATACTTTTTCAAGCTCAAAGTGTTTTGATTGGGTGAGGAGGTGGATTTAAAAAAACTTAAATGTATATAATTACAATTTTCATTCTCCACTTTCTCCTTATATACATGTACTCACTTTCATTTTCAGCTTGAGTGTAGTCCTGAAGGAGAGTATGGTGACAGAGTGGTATTAACATGTCTGTACCCCAGCTACCTTTTTCTGATCCCCAGGTATAGGAACTTACGTGAGTTAGTGTTCCCAAAGAATCTTGCCTACTAATAATCACATGATTAAACTCATATGTATGTTATGGCAAGTAGTCCTATCCTCTGTAATTTCCATAAAGCCCTGTATAATAGTAATGTTACAATTTCTAGAGGGTCACATCTCTTGGTAATTTGTGATAATATTGCTAAGAATATCCTGGGAAAATTTACCTATTCATAATCAGATTATTCTCGCTCATCTAAATCTCACTAAAAGTCTCTAAGTTCCTTAAAATTAAGGGCCATATCTTATTCATTTTTCTTAAAGACGTCAAACTGACATGGCTTTTGATTTGTCCAGATCCTGCTCGTTATCACCTTCTTCTATTATTCTTTACCATTTGTGTTTCATAAAAGTCCTCTAGAATTTAGGTATTAATATTTGATTGTCCTTAATTTTCTCATGAGAGCCTTCAGAGTATAAACTATAACTGTCCTTATATTTTCATCTTTCAAAGTCTTAACATTACCATAAACCTTGTACTTATGATTGAGTGACAGATTATCCACAGTAGTCATGTACCATACCTTCGCCTTGAATTTATCACTCAATACAAATCATGATCTGGTGTATAGGTTTTAAATCCTTTGTGCCATAAATAGTTCTCAACTTCATTATATCCTCCCCCAAATAGACTAGTCAAGCAAATTATAAATACATTAGACTTTAATTCTGAATTTCTCCATTGGTGAACTGACCCAGTGTTTACTTCAGGAGCCACTTCTGCTTCCATTCTGTTCCCCTTTTTTCACCATTTAATTTCCTTTTTTATGTTAATTACAAATAGCCTGCTCATTTATTAGAGGCAAACCTCTATCAAGCTCTGATGTACATCATCCCAAATCTGAGTTGATATATCCCAGAAAGAACACAAAAGTACCCAAAATTCCTTTTGCATAAGACTGGACTTAATATGAAAATTTTATTATTCCTTTTCACTATTGTTTTAAAACAGACGTTCTGGTGCATATGAGTGCTTTTCAATAATTCTAGAAACCCAAAATTTCCACAGTGTGTGTTGAGCCTTTTATTCCTTAATGTTAGGTATAGAAAATAGCCTGGCCTAAATTGCTTTAGGTTGGTACATATCTTCTCACATAGGAAATGAGAAACCTAAGCAGTTTCCTTTTTCAAATCTATTCCACTTCCTAAACCTTATTCGTTTCCATCTGGTGTTTGCTATTTTCAAAACTTGAATATAGTGTCCCCAGTAGTCTTGGGACACTTATTTAATATTGAATAAATCAAGAATATAGAAGGGTGAAAAAAAAAAGAATAAAACAAACAAAAAAAGAATATGGAGGGTGAACTTAGGGCTCAGAGATAGTAGGAAATAATTGGCACATATGTTGTTATGCATGTTGAACATTTAACTATAAGCATGAAAAAATTCACCTTTGCTAAAAATCAGAATTGCTAAGTAAAACAAGGTGCCACATAGTGCCTATTAAACTATCAAGTATAATATGCTGTATGGATAAAGATGTGGAAAAAAAGACACTCGTTTCCTATTGATCAAAGTGTTAGTTATCCACAGCCTTTCTGAAGGATAATGTGGCAGAATGTTGGAAAATGTATATATACTTTGTCTCGGCAATTCCACTTTGAGGAATTCACCCTAAGGAAACCAACAGAGCTATATGTAAACAAAGATTCATTAGTTCATAATTTTTGAGCACCTGTGTGCCAGGTATTCATCCAGGTGCTAGGATTAAAACAGTGAAAAGACAGGCTCTCTGCCCTCTTAGAGCTTGTATTCTACAGCAGTGCTGTTCAATACAGTAACCATGAGCCACATTTGGCTAGTAAGCTCTTGAAATGTGGCTAATATGACTGAGGAAATGAATGTTTAATTTTAATTAATGTAAACTTAAATTGTCACATGTGGCTGGTGGCTGCCATTTTGGACAGTGCAGCTCTAGAGCAGTGGTTCCTCAGGTTTGGTACCCAGACCAGCAGCATCAGCATCACCTGGGAGCTTGTTAGAAATGCAACCTATTGGATCAGACATTCTAGGGTGGGACTTGGCATTCTGTGTTTTAACGTATTCCCCAGCTGATGCTGATGTATGCAAAAGCTTGAGAACTTTTGTTCTAGAGGAAGTTCATGACAGCATTGTTATAATATCAAAAATTGGAAACCACCTAAATGTTCACCTGTAGGGTATTCATTAAGTAAATAATGGTATTTATACAATGATATACCATGCAGCCATTAAAGATAGTGTAGTTGTATTTATTGATATGGAAATTTGTTCATGATGTGTTTTAAGTTGAAAAAAAGCACTTTACAAAACAGTATGATTCTGTTTTTGTAAGAAAAAGTATGTATATACATATATGGTAACTCTGCTTTTATAGACAAAAGCGCAGAAGAAGTCAACATATAGCAGCTATTAAGTGATAGGTTATAGTTTAATTTTCAGAGTGATGAAATTAACAAGTGATTTTTAAAATAATATTTCTTTATGTAACTATATTTTCTGATTTTTCTACAACCAAAGTTAATTTTTAAAATGCAAGGGTTGTTTAGAATTGTTTTATTAGGGCTTCTCGTTTGTCGATCATTTAGGTATTTTATCTTTGGGAGAATATATTTTTACTGGGGCTCAATTTTCTGTGTCCTTTGTTTCAAAACTGGTTTTGTGACGATCATTTGTTTTTCATTTCTTGTTTTGTACTTTTTAGTGATTCAGTAAGCATTATATTTATATGACTTTTATATTTTCTGTGTAGCCTGGAGTAGGAACAAAAATTGCTGAAAAGATTGATGAATTTTTAGCAACTGGAAAATTGCGTAAACTGGAAAAGGTAAAATTGTAACTTGTTTGCTTATTTGATAATAGTGTCTACCTTTATGGTGACTATCATGGAGCACCATTGCAGGGTGACTGGTGTCACTCACTCTAGTGAGACTCAGAAGGAAAAGAAAGGAGGGGAGTTTACAGCTCTAAGTGTTCCATTTTTTAAAATGTGAATATTATTTCTTTACAGTGTTCACTTATTTTATGTGGCACTTCAGAGACTGTTAGCATATATGAAAGAATTAGCTCTTTAATTTTAGTACCATTCAGAAGGGAGATTATAAACTTGACTTAAAGATGTTATCTTTTAGAATTTCTATGCTTAAACTCTCCCAAGCATTTTTATGTTTCTGTTGCACCCTGATGACAGTAGTTATATCATTTCTGGTCTTTTATGAGTAAGTCTTTTTAGAGTTTTGGATAAATTAGAGATGAGACATCTTCAGCTGCTCTGTTATTTACCTATAACCACGTAGGTTATATATGAATACTTCTGTATGGGTTACCCAGGCAAATGTAAATGGCCCTTCCGGTCTCTTGGCAGACTAGTGTATTTCCAAGAAGATCATTTGAGTCCTCAAAGCATTCCTAAATCATTGTTATGCTTTTTGTTGTTGTTGTTAAAGATTCGGCAGGATGATACGAGTTCATCCATCAATTTCCTAACTCGAGTTACTGGCATTGGGTAAGAACTATTTTTTAAGCAGACACAATAGTATTGGTTTAATTTTTTATGTCAGCCAAACTAAAGTGCATGCTGTTTCCCTTCAAAACCCGTACCTTTCCACCTCTGTGCCTTTGCCCACACAGCTTACATAGCTTACATGTCTGAGGCTGGTTCTCCAGATGCTGCCTCTGCTGTAAAAGCCCCATCTGAGGCAAATGTAAACTTCTTCGTGAAACCGTTTTGATTCCCCAGCCAGAAATAATCCCTCCTTCCTCTAATCTCCACTGACACTTGCTCTTTGTACATTTTACCACTCCCTCCAGATTATGCCTCATTTGCTTCTCTGAGCATGATATTTATCTTAAGCCTTTAAGCTTTTTTCCATAGCACCTAGCATAGTACCTTATGAATTTGAAACAAGCACTCAAGCATTTTTTAATGAAGGAATCTTTATCTTAAAATTGGAACTAGCATGAAAGAGGACTTCTTTGGCACTGGACAAAGTAAAGATGAACATTGAAATATTAAGTCTGTAATGCTTTACTTAACTCTAATCTTCATGGAATGAGGCTTTTTTTTTTTTTAGATATATACAATCTTTTAAATTTAGGCAACATTTTGATGAAAGTTACTCTAAAATAGTTTAAGTTCTTATATCTAGTATACTGAAAATGAGCTTGACTCCTTGGGGACCGAAGGCCTTTATAAAATGTTAGTTAGACGTTGTTTTAAAGAGCATCTGTTATATTATCCTCTTTTTCCAGGCCAGAAAACTAAATACAGAAAATGAGATAACTATGGCAAAGTCAGAATTAGAACCTGTGTCTTTTGACTCCCATTTTAGTTCTGTTTTTTCTATACCTCATTGCTTCTTGACATGAATATCAGTTTTTGTACCACACAGTGTCTGTACAAAGACTCTGTCATTCCCATCTCAGTTTAATATCATCTCAGAGATCTTCCCTCACCATCCAATCTAAAGTAGGACCCAGCCGGACTGGCCGAGTTGTGCGTTGGTTAGGAGTTGGTTTGGGATGCCAGCTCTGAGCAGCAGGGCCCTGGTTCAGATCCTACATATGAGGCCCAGTGATGCTGCACCCTCTAGCTAAAATGGTGAACAACAGCTTGACCTGAAGCTGGGCTGCTGTGAGTCGACGGCGTAGGCTGCAGTGGGGCTGGCCAGCAGCTGGTGTGCGCTTTTGTGAGCTGCCCTGAGCCGCTGTGAGCTGCCGTCCAATGGCCGGCGAGCAACTGTCTCACTCGGGAAGAGCGTAATGATAATACCAACATGGGTCAGTGAAGCGACGTCCTCCACAACTAGACTGAACAACAAAAGGACAGCAACTTGTCTGTTCCCCTTCCCTGATTCCCAACGCTGTTCCCTCTCCCCAATTCCCCAATAAAATCTTTAAAAAATAAAAAATTAAAAAATAAAGTAGGACCCAGCCATTCTATCATATTAACTTTTAATTCATCTACCTGATAAATTTTTTCTTGTTTGATTATATATCTGTTCTCTCTCTCTACCCACTAGGATGTGGGTAGGTAAGACCAGGGCCCTTATTTGTCTTATTCCTGCTGTATTTTCAGCACCTAGAAGAGTATCTGGCATATAATAGGACTTCAGTATATTTCATTGAATGAATGAACAGTTTTCAAATGCCTGTATGTCTGTTTTATAAGATACGTGGGCACTATTGACACCTAGCTGTTTAGACATCTTTTTCATGTCCAAGTTCATGGTAGCTTTTCTAGATTGAAGCTTCAAGAATTCTTCTCTTTGAATAAAATGGAACATTGCCAAAGTAACCATGCAACATAGCTCAATAGTAACTCTGCGGTTGACAAGAGAAGGCTTAATTGGTTATTTGTTACAAGGATCCCGAGTTTCACTTGATATTGAGATAATGCTTTTCTTTCTTTGTAGTCCGTCTGCTGCAAGGAAGTTTGTAGATGAAGGAATTAAAACATTAGAAGGTGAGTATGTATAATAGGTCAATATTATTCCAGGTTAAATATGGGCCTGAAGGACTGTTAATGCTCTAACAAACTAGAACTTGAAAAACCCTTTCTTTCTTTTCAACTCTACGGTAGAGAGGAGATGTAAAGAGTAGTTTATATTCCCATCTTAAACATATTTATGTTTGTAACTCAGAAGAAAATGAAGAAGAGCAAGAAGTGACTCTTTGGTTTTAAAGCAATGATTTCATTTGCAGATTTTTAGATGATTTAAATTGCCTTTGTTTCTTTAATAACATTTTAAACAACAAAGCCCTACACACTCATCTTAAAAGCCAAGTTGTATATATTGAGAAAGATTCTTAAGAGGCTTGTAATGCTTATTGAATGAATGTTTGCTTTCAAAGAAGTGATAAAAATAGACCGTAAGTAATTATGAGACATTTTTCTTAACATAGCAATCCTTTAAATATAATTTATTTTTTCATACATTTCAAGGGTGTGTGTGTGTATACATATATATATATTCATTATAGTATATCTGTAGCATTTGGGTTTTAATATTTGTGATTTCAACTACTTGGAAGTAACCCAACTGGTTAGGTAGACAGGTTTTAAAGACTGACCTTGGTTTGAATCAGGTCTTTACCACTTTATTAAAATGAATGATGGTGGCATTTCACTTTTCATCTATAAAATGATATTATAATTTCTGCCTCATATGATTTAATGAAATAATGTATGTAAAATATTTAGCAGAGTGCTTGGTACCTAGTAAGTACTGAAAAATAGTAACTGACTATTAAGAGGCACTATTAATTAGTAATTACTAAGAATTTGTGAGCCACATGGCTAGAGAATGAACTCTACCACATCTCAGAGTTTGTGCTTCTCTGCTGGTGGTATATGTAGTTTATCTGAGTGAAATATTGAATAAAGGGGTCAAGAATTTGTTTCTCAAAAGTATTCAGTTGTATCCTTGGGAGTGTCAAGGATCTACTGTAATGGTTTTCACATCACAGTTCACAGATATATAATAACTGTTGATATATCTACGAGTAATATAACAAATTCAATATTCCTGTTTCATTTTCACTCATGTTCTTTAGTGTTTTCGTGTACACACAAGTATGAGAAATATTAATTGCTCCATGTATAATAAAGTTTCTTATTTTTCTCCATTTTATATTTCCAGAGAGAATTTATATTTGTGAATATAAGGGTGATTATAGGAATTGCTTTTGAAGCACACTTATCTTGCTGTTTCTTTAACAAGGATTACTCCTGTACTCATGCCCAGTAAAAGAACATCCAAATGGAATAAGTCACTTTTAGATTTAAGATGTGATGTTATGATATGACAGCTTTTTTAATTAAAAAAGGAAGATAATACCTCTCTTTTCGGCAGGCATAGTGCACGTACAAATTGGTACTCAATAAATACTAACTGAATGAAGGATTAAATGAACAACATGAATGAACTTAGTTACTCATAATACATTCAGAATTTGTGGTTCCTACTGCTGCTATTAACCGTAAATTGAACAATATAGGTTCTTATAAAGCTGCTTTTTGCTGTAATGAAATTTGGTATGATCTTGGTATGTTTACTATTCCATGTAACTATAATTGAAATTTTGATTCAGTAAACAAAAAGATCATGAAATAACTGCTAGGTTTTACCATATTGATTTGAAGAGTTACTTTTATCTAATTCTTAATATCTGAAAATTTTTTTTTCATTGCCTTTTCAAAATCATCTATTTCAGTGTATTTTCCAGGTAGTTCTCTGTAAAAAGGATCACTGAATTTAACATTTTTTTCCAGAAATGTTTAAGTTAGCACCTTAATTTTTTTCATCTTCTATGCAGATCTCAGAAAAAATGAAGATAAATTGAACCATCATCAGAGAATTGGGCTGAAGTAAGATAGCACATTTTCTTTTGAAACTTGAGATGTAAAAGTAAAATTTTTATAGCCATTTTTCTATACATCATAATAATTCTTAAAAGTTAGCTGAACACACCATTTTTTTTCTATTCAGAAATGCTAAGATTTGTTGTAGACTCCTATAAAGAATATGCCTATATTCATGTTTTGTTATTGCTTTCTAGTTTGTTTGCTTGTTTTGAGTATTTCCCTCATTCTCTTGACTTCAGCAGGAAACTTCCTCTGAAAATACATAGAACTCAGTGCATCAGTCAGTCAGCGGGTGTTTATTTTATACTTCCATTGCACTGGATCTGGGGTAAGGATATAAACAGGCTCAGTGTAGCTCTGAAGTTTAGATTCTACCTGAGACGTTAGAACATGAACGTGAGACACTAAATTTAAATAAAAAGAAAAACTTTAGACACCTAAATAACAGTAAAGGATCAGCTAGTAGGCATGTTGTATGTGTATGTCAGCATCATCTATTATTTTATGTGCCAGATAAAATCTGGAGCCCCCTTTCTAATTGATTATTTAAAATACATAAGCTATGTACATGCATAAGCATGTATCTCCTCTAGCCTTGTTGGTGATTCAATTCTAATAAACTTGGAACTTTCCTGTTGATACCTTACCATAATATTTTTAAACTTATACTGCTTTTCCAAAACTTGGAGTCAGTAAGAAGAGACCAGGATAGTGTAGTTCTCACTTTCCTTGCCTTTAAATAGTAAATAGAAATCTTCTGAAGATCTTGGTTGTTGTGAGAATTGGTTTTGAACGGGTGCTTTATTCTTAGATGTTACTAGATTTCATACTGAGATAATATTTTTATAACAATGTTATTGTAGTAGAAGTCATATACCACATAAAATTCACCCATTTAAAGTATACAATTCAGTGGTTTTAGTATATTCACAGAGTTGTACAACCATCACTACAGTCAATTTTAGAACATTTCTGTTATCCTAAAAAGAGCCCTTACCCATTGATAATCACTCCCCATCTCCCACCCCCCAGCCCCTGGCATCCACTAATCTATTTTCTGTCTTTATAGATTTGCGTATTCTGGACATTTCATATAAATGAAATTATGCAATATGTGGTCTTTTGTGACTGGCTTCTTTCACTTAACATAATGGTGTCTGTGTTCATCCATGTATGACCCTACTAGGATAATATTTTAAAATATGATAATTTTGTAAGATTTAAGATCAATAAACTATAACCTTGATTTTCCAATAGGGAGCAGTCTAATTTGGAAAGATACTGACTTAAATGTATTTATTTACTCTTGGTATGGGAAGTCNACCCGGGAAGAGCGCAATGATAATACCAACATAGGCCAGTGAAGCGACGTCCTGCACAACTAGACTGAAGAACGAAAGGACACCAACTTGTCTGTTCCCCTTCCCCCGATTCCCCAGCACTGTTTCCCTCCCCCAATGCCCTAATAAAATCTTTTAAAAAAACAGTAGGGTTTTTAAGGAAAAATCATATTTGCTGTGATAATTTTCACTGGTAAGATATAAGAATTCATTGAACTACAGATACCATCACTTTTTTTTCCCAAGCTACTATCAGTTACTAGAACTTCACCAGAAATTACTTTCAGATTTATTTAAACTAACTGAATCACTAGATCAAAATTAATTTTTTTTGTTATCTGCAGAAATAGACAAAAGCTAAAGCTAGTTTCCATTCGTCACAGGGCACCATCTCATTGTTCTCTAGCCCAGTCTATATCAGTTGCTATAAGAGACACGTGTCTGGAAATATTTAAAAATTAATGTCTGAAATTTCTACTTGAATACAATAATTAGTCCTTTATTTTGAAATATTTCCAACTTTTCAGATTTTTTGGCATACTCTTAACCGGGCATGTTGTCGATTGCCAGTCACTTGACTTCGACATAATAGTCCAGGACCACAGTCACACCGCTGGAAGATTTCTGGAGCTTGAGCAGTATCTTTATGCCCTCTCCTAGAGCACACCTGTCCCTCCAATAGGACTGGTTTACATATTTTAGTCCAAAAATGACGAGCACAGCAAAGTCCAGGTCCACAGTCAAAAGTTCTAAGACAGCTTTCCCCCTCTTGTCCTGTAACAAGATTAATATGAGCTTTAGCAGTGGAAGTGGTATGTGGAGGGAGTGCTACGGGGATGAAGGTATGGGATATAGGACTGAAGGCCACAAAGTGAAACAGAAACAGCATGCAGGTTTCCTGGAGCTCGAGTTTATACCAAAAGCAATAATGAAACAAATTTCAGCCCTACTTANTGGAGGGCAGTGTCACTGGCCCTCATATGTGGGATCCGAACCGGGGCCCTCTGGCGTCCCAAGCCAGTTCTTAACCATCGTGCCACTCGGCCGGCCCTTAGCATGATAATCTTGAGATCCACCCATGTTGTTGCAAATGGCACTATTTCATCTTTCCTTATGCCTAAGTAATATTGTATTGTATATATGTACCACATCTTCTGTATCCAGTCAGTCATTGAAGGACACTTTGTTATTTTCCTCTCTTGGCCACCGAGAATAATGCTACAGTGAACATAGGTGTACATTTATCTTTATGGATAAATGTTTTCAGATTTTTTGGGTAGATACCCAAGGTCATATGGTAATTCTATTCTTAATTTTTTGAGGAACTTCCTTACTGTTTTCCATAGTGACTGTACCAGTTTACATTCCCATCATCTGTGTATGAGGGTTCCTTTTCTCCACAGCCTCTCCAACACTTGTTATTACTTGTCTTGTTTGATAATAGACATTCCAACAGGTGTGAGGTGGTATCTCATTGTGGTTTTGATTTGCATTTCCCTAATAGCAAGTATCACTATATGATTTTAAGTTAAGCCTGTCTCTCCATATCCTATTTTCCATATTTTCAAAATTAGAGGATTAAAATTAACTAGTTGTTGAAATGTGTCTGTGCACCAGAAATACCTAGGAAGTTTTTTAAAACATACACATTGCTGTACCCTGCTACAAACCTACTAAATAAGAATCTCCTTGGGTGGGGCCTTGGAATCTGTATTTTCAAAACGTAGGCTATCTTGCACAGCAAGCCATGTGCATGCTTAGTTGACTAGGACAACCTTTCTGGATTTATATTTTTCAATTTTATTTTACTTTTATTACTGAGTAAGTTATATGGTTATGTGCTTTCATATAAAAAAGGTACGCAGTGAGAAGGCTCTCTTCTGCTCTGTCCCTATTGACTCCCTTCCCTCCTTCCCTCCCTCCCTCCTGTCCCGTTAACAACCATTTTCTTGTGTCTTCTTTCCATGTTTCTGCATGTAAATGTGAATATACATTCTTGGTTTCCTCCTTTCTCTCTCTTTCAAAAAGGTAATATAATACATACACAGTACTTTACCTTACTTTTTTCACTTAAAAATACATCCTGGAGATCTTTCCATATCAGTATATAGAAAGCTCCGTATTCTTTATGGCTGCATAACATTCGATCATCTGGATGTCCCATAGTTTATCTAGTCCTCTATTGATGGCCCTTCAGGTTGTTTCTTGCTTTTTGGGGGGTTTTTGCTCAAATAGTTTGGGGTTTTTTTGTTTTGTTTTGTTTTGATTTGTTTGTTTTTACATTTTTGGTGGTAGGTGGATGTTGGAAGACATTCAATTTTTAAGAGAAAGAAATGAGAAAAACAGAAGACAATAAATTATTTTGTTGTTGTTAAAATAGTTTCCATGAATGTTCTGGGATCAGCACAAATTGAATCTAGTCTTCTTTATGTTTAAATATCTGGTTAAAGATTATTGATCCAGAGACACTGCAGGATCTTCAGTGACCAACACTATATTTTTCATTTATTATACTTATAAAAATGAAAAGAGAGGCAATAAACAATTATTTTATGCCAGCTGTGTGCCAGGCACTATTCTAGATGCTTTTATATATGTTCTTATTTAGTTGCACAATGGCCTTCAAAGTATTTTTAGTAGTTTGTAGACAAGGAAATTGAGGCCTAGAGGAATATAGTCTTCATTTTTTAAAAAGATTTTATTGTGGAATTGGGGGAGGGGAACAGACAAGTTGCTGTCCTTTTGTTCTTCAGTCTAGTTGTGGAGGACGTCGCTTCCCTGGCCCACGTTGGCATTATCATTGCGCTCTTCCTGAATGAAGCAGATCAGTCGCCGGCTTCTGGACAGCTGCTCACGGCGGTGGTTGGCGGCTCACGCTGGCCACTCACGCTGGCTGCTGGCCACACACGGCAGCCCATGGCAACCCACTGCAGNGGCCCCTAGAATATGTTTTTTTTTTAATAAAATTAAAACATTTATCAAAGGAAGGTGAGATTTCCAGTCTTGAGAAATAAGTATCACTCATCAATGTTTTCTTGAATGGGATTTACACTGACACAAAGAGAGACCATTACTTACCAAGGGGCCAGTGAACCTGAAGACAGAAACAAGAATGGCCGGCTCACCACCTTCACACTGTCTAGCTATTTTATGACAAAGATTGGAATTTGAGACTACAATTTGTTAAAAAGCATCTTAGTGAAGTTTGTATTTTTTCTGAGAATGAAAAGTTAATGTACCTGCACATCTCTAATTTTGTATTCTGAGGATCTAAAAAGGGGAACTGATGTTCATTAAATTATAGACTGTAAAAAGATGTGTATGTAAAGTTCAGTTAAACAATGAAAGGTTTTCTTGCAACCAGTCCGTAATTATGGCTATTCCGCTGTCCTCTTGGACTGCTGACTACCTTATGCTACTCCCTACCCGATCAACCATAGCAGCTTAGGGAGAGAGATTAGAAACAGGACACACAACCTATGTGGTTTTGGTGGAGAGGAGTCAAGCCAGTTTCAGCCCATCCTTAAGAGCCTCAGAAGCGGGGGAAAGCATTTTTTTTTTTTTTTAGATACTCAGAAGCTGCTCTTACCCTTACTGCCTTGTGATTTCTTAATATTTGGCTTCCTTTTGGTTTTTTTCCCCTGAATTGGATACTCAGTTGTTCCTTTTGCATCGATGTTGTCATGGTCATCAGTCTGACTTTCCAATATTGGTGCTGCATCTTCCATTGTAGTACAAACATCTGGGAGAAAACCAGGTATAGTTAGCTATTAAAGTCAAGGATTAGAACCAAAGACATCCTAATTATCATTCTGTTATATCATTTGGCAGTACCGCTGCCTCCAGTTTATATATAACTTTCTAGATTTCTGCGACACGTGCACAAAATATTTACATGCTCGCATATGGCAAAGGAGGTAGTTAAGTAATTAATAGAATCCAAGTGAAAACAGAATTTGAAAGATTGCAACTTGTACCCTCCCTTTAAAATCATCTCCAAATTGCTGGCAAGAGTTGTTGCCAGGAAATACACTATTTTGTTACATCAAGAAAAGTCATCTGTATAAATTTACTTCAAACATGAATCCAGGAAAACTTTAGATGTGCCTATCTTGGAATAGTCTAGGCTGTGAGATTCAGATTCTGTTTTCAGTTCTGGAGCAAAGCAGTCCTGCAAGGATTTATGGTAGTTTACCATTCATGCAGAGCGTTCCTGGGCAGCACATGGCATTACGCTGGCACCTCCTCCGTAATCCACGACAAGTAGCACAGAATGGCTTCTCATCTTGGGGCTTGAGGCAGAATTTTCTGGTATTGCAGTCATTGTCAGACAAGCACTGTGAACCCTGTGAAGAGAAAGTGTTGTCACATGGTTAGGGACTCCAACAATATGTAAGACGACTTTTTATTCAAGGCAGGAAGTAGAGGAAGCCAAGTCATAGGGCACTTTGAACACTGGCAAACCTTGGGCGGCATCTTAACTTTTCAATATAATTGGTTTTCTCACAAAGAGAGAATCACCAATGAAGAGGCCCATGTGTGGCAAAAATTATTGGTGTCTGAAAAATTGTCCTACTTTTAAAACTCAACATTTAATTCTTATGCTTTGTGAAAAATGGAAGAAAATGTTGTCTCATGTGTGCCTAGATGACTATGAGATTTTTTATGTATAGCTATGAACTCTACAAGCTATGCTACAGTTTAATATGAATATCATGTTGGTGTTTGTGGCACTCCTATTCAATTTTTTATTCTAGTGATTCACATCGATTGCACCCATTTGTCAAAAAGCACCCTGGTGAGCCTTACCCAAGTGGTACGTGGACTGTCCTTTGGTTTTTAGTGATGCCTCCTTTGCATCGAGAAACAGATANTTATTTTCAAAGGTATTTTGGTTTAGCAACTTCAGTTCTCTTAAAAGCCTTTAAGTAACTATGCTAGTTAATTGTAGTTTCTTTGTATTGTTAGTTCCTCAGACAACAGAAGGGACTTTAATCCATATGGGCTCCCAGGCCCGCAATTGAATTGGCAAGAATTATTTCTAACCCTATCAGAATGGATTAAATCCTTTCTACTGTGATGATCAGTAAAACAAAATCTTATTGATCTAAAGTGTTTTTATTTTTTTTAAATGTATGTCCAAGACTTAAGAAGAAACCACTGCTTTTAGTGCCAGACCTACCCTAGTAGCTTTGGCCCCATGCTATGAAAGTTTAAAGAATAAAAATTGCTGAATCTCTGTTTTATGGATCTTGTTAACGTTTCACAATATATTCTGTGGTTTACTATTCTCTGCTAGGAAAATTAAGACTTTTGTCATTCCGTCCTAAAAGTAGAAAATAAAATAGGGCTTTCTCCTTGGTAGACTAGGGCAGTGCTTCTCGTAGGTCAGTGTGCATACAAACCACGTGGAGACTCATTAAACACAGATTCTGTTTCAGTGGGCTTTGGAATAGGGCCCAAGAGTCTGCATTTCTAGGAAGCCTCCAGTGATGCCACTACTGCTAGTCCGAGGACCACATTTTGAGTTAGAACTAACTAGAGTATATTTCATATACTATATAGTGGCTACAATGGATATCCAGCAGAAAGGAAAATCATGAATTAGGAAGACTTCAGTGGCCCTAGTTGGGCACTCAGATTCCTTTTGTAGCACTTGGAACATATGTGACAAACAGAAGCTCATGTAGGAGGATGGGGCAGTCAATATCTCTTTTCTAGTGGCTTGGTTACCATTTTTTTTTTCTGCTGAAAGTGAATCTAATACATCTCTGGGCCCTGAACCCTCTATAACTGAATTCCCAAACTGTTTCATAAGTCTCTTTTCTCTATTTACTACTTGCAGGAGTTGCTGGAGAACCCCTGCCAGTGGATAGCGAGAAGGACGTCTTTGACTACATCCAGTGGAAATACCGAGAACCCAAGGATCGAAGTGAATGAGGCCTATCCTTCCTCCCAGGCACAACCCAACAGGAGTCTTAATTTATTTCTTAACCTTTGCTATGTAAGGGTCTTTGGTGTTTTTAAATGATTGTTTCTTCCTCATGCTTTAGCTTGCACTGTAGTCAATAAAATCTCTTGGACTATTATCAGATGATCTTGTTCTTATTTTATTAGCAAGTATGTTTAGATTTATGTTCATGATCACACTTTACTAAGAGTTTAGTAGTGAGAATTAAGAGGTGAGGTGATAGCAACTCTTTAATGGGAATTTTTATTTTCTAATTTTCTCCCCTTATGCTATGAACTACATTACCCACTACCTTTCCTTCTATTTACTGATTACAAATTAGTCAATTAAGGTACACCCAGAGGCTAGCCTCTGGAAAATGGTTCAGTAATTTTTAGAAACTAGAGAACTTCATAAATTTAATTTTTTTTCTTTGGTTGGCCCATATTCAGTTTTGTAGTCTATACCTAAAATTTAAATAGAGGAACAAGTGTGTGGTTTACCACTTAAATGACACCTATAGCAACTGGTTGTAATCCATCAGAAGAGCTTCCCTAAGAAAAATCACTTCTAATTGCACCCATATGTACAAAATATGGCCTCTTAAACTTCAAACAAACAAAAATTTCACTTTTTTGCCCTAATTTTCCTTTAAGGTAAATTTTAAGTTCAAATGGTAAAAATATCTAACTAAAAACACTCATTGAAGCCCTAGCTTTGAAATATAAAAATTGCATAAATATAAAATATAAAAAGTTATCAAAAGGTAAGTGAAGTTATTGAAAACAAAATATGTGTAAATGCTTTGTAGCTTGCAAAGGACTGTACAAATGATGCTATCTTTTGAATCTTATTTCTTTATTAATCAAATTATTTTGTAGTGAAATGCCATTTCCCTTCCAAGAAATGAAAGAAAACAAACANCCCCCCCCCCCATTTCTCTGTTGTCTTCTTAATAAATTTTAACCTTGACTTTTGAATGATCTGCTCATATAAGGACACTTGATATGGTAGGCAAGTAAATTTTTAAGAAGATTTAAATGTCACAAAAATCTTTTGTCTGTTTATTCTGTCTTTGTAGATATTTTGAGGACTTTGAGAAAAGAATTCCTCGTGAAGAGATGTTACAAATGCAAGTAAGAGTGTGCTGAATTGTGTTCTTCGATTCGAATTGAGACTATCACTTGGTGAAAAGCCATTTTTAGAATAATGACTTAATTTTTCTTCTATTAGGATATTGTACTAAATGAAGTTAAAAAAGTGGATTCTGAATACATTGCTACAGTCTGTGGCAGTTTCAGACGAGGTAACATACTTCCTAATAGGTTATTCATGTCTTGATGTTAAAATTGCCTAATGTATATGAAAAATGTTGATTAAAAGATATAATTTATATTACTTTATAGATTTATTCAGACTCAGTATTAGCTAGGTTTATTTGTGTATAGATGGAAATATGTATGAAAAATTAGAGGAAATTCGTACTGAATTTATTACAGAATGATATTTTAATGACTAATTTTAATAATTTATAAAATAATTTTAGGTATGTTAAAATCTTAATAGTGGCTGTCTGGCTAGATGCTAGTGAAGCTCCAGGTAGTTTTTTTTGTTTGTTTGTTTTAGATTTTGTATTTTCTGAGTTTTCTATAATGGATCTAAGAATAATATTTCAGAAGCACCAATTCTCACAACAACCAGGTTCTGTGAATCGCCATTTACTTTGTGAATATGAGCAAAACGAGAATCACATAATCATGGTCTCTTACTGGCTCAAAATTTTGGAAGGGTAATATAACTTTAAAAATATTAGCTTTAAAAATTGGAATAGAAAAGAAAAAAACAACAAATTGGAATAGAAAAACTTTATTTAAAAGTTTTAGAATTAGGTATCTGACTGCATCTCTGGTCACTTCTGGAGTTTTGCTTAGGAAGTAGGTGATGGATTATGAGAAATTATCTGGGTAGCTGCTGTAAGAATCTGGAGTTGGGGAGTGAAAAGAACTAAGGATGTAACTGCTGCTAAGTAGAAAGAACGTTGGATTGGGACCAAAACACCTGGGTTCTCAAGCCAATCTATCACTATATGATTTTTTTAAATCTTTATTAAATTTACTGGGCTAACTTTGGTTAGTAAAATTATATAGGTTTCAAGTGTACATTTCTGTAATACATCATCTATATATTGCATTGTGTGTTCACCACCAAGAGTCAGTTCTCCTTCCATCACCATATATTTGACCCCATTTACGCCTCTAATACCACCCCCCTCCCACCTTTACCCTCTGGTAACCACTAAACTGTTGTCTGTGTCTATGAATTTTTGTTTCTTTGTTTGTCTTATTTGTTGCTTTCAGTTTTATATCCCGCCATATGAAGTCATATGGTTCTCGACTTTTTCTGTGATTTATTTCACTTAGCATGATAATCATTTTTTTTGTTTTTTTTAAGATTTTTTTTTTTAAATTGGGGAATTGCGGGGATGGGAACAGCGGTGGGGAATTGGGGGAAGGGGAACAGACAAGTTGCTGTCGTTTTGTTCTTCAATCTAGTTGTG